CATCCCTGTGCTTTGTTTTGTTTTGTTGTTTTACTTAGGCAGAGACACTAGTATAGCTGCAGTCTGGCCTGGAATCATTGTATTGTGGAGGATAAACCTGAACCTTGACGGTCAAATCCCCTCTTCTCTTTCCTGTCCCTTACTTGTTTTGTCTTTTCAGTCCTTCTGTGTCCCCACTCTACTTGCACATCACATGCCTGCTACTGTGCCTGTACCACCCCCACCTCCCCACAGATCTCGTGGAACCTTTCTTCTCCATGCTCTCTGTGGACACTCAGTCCAGTTCTGAAACAGGAAGAGGTTAAAGGTAGAATTTATGTGTAAGAAGAACAGACAGCATTTTAGTTTGTGCTTCAGACATCTCCTCAGTATAATTACATTTCCAGTTTTACACATTTGCTTGCAAATTTCATTTCAGTATTTTTCATTTTAGAGTCAGATTCCAGTGTTTGTGTGCTGCATTTCCATTATGGTGGACATTAGCTGATGGACCTCCAGGCTGTTTCTTTTTGTAGCTATTGAGACTAGAACAGCAATGAGTATGAGTGTGCATGTATCTGTGGTAGTATATAGACTCTTTATTATATGTGGAGAGATATTTTTACTTCTGAGGCAACCTTACACAGATTTGCTTGGTAATTGCAGCAGTTTAATCTACCGCTAATGGTGAGTAAATATTCACTTTTCCACACACCCTCAATAGGGTTTGGGGTCTTTAGGCTAGCATGGCAAGCTTTTTACCTGGTTGCCTGTGCCCTAGCCATACAGACATTGGCTTTATTATTTTGTTAATAAAAAGGCCAGACCTTTTAAATACTGTTTATTTGGGGAATTTTCTGCATATAAGTTGATATATTTTAATATCTATAACACATTTTTTGTTTTTGTTTTTTTTATTTTTTATTTCCCATTGAGTTCAACTAGTGCTGTCCAATTTGTGTGGCCATCCATAGGGTATGACAACATACTAGTGGCCACATTTCTGATGAAAAGTAAGTGTCCATTCTCCCAAAGCCATCAGCTGGCAATACCTTCTTAGCTAGGGGTGGCCTTCTTGGGGCAATCTCATTCTGTCCAAAATTTGGCTGACCTGTGATCTGAAGTGCTTTGGAAATTTTAGAATTTGATACATGCATTGTAGAACATTTTTGGTGAAAGTGAGTTATCTCAGTAAGACTACTCTTCTTACCTTGTATGTTTGTCCATTGATTTTCTATGAAACTACAGTGTTCATATTTTATGTAGACAATTATTATTGTGTAACAGATGTAGTGTTAAGTCAATAAGAAATCATTTGTTTCTAAGTTATTGTTCTGATTGACACAGGAAGAAAAGAAAAAGACAGAAAAAAAAATGAATACTTCCCATGAATTCCCAGTGGCTGTAGACCTAGGGCAGAGAACTTGTCCTAAATTGAAACTGAGAAGTCCTGAATTTTTCGTGATTCAGCAGAGTCACCTATTAGTCCACTTTTCCTGTCTCTCCTATTGATTTCTTAATCCATTCCTGTTGAACAACCTGGCAGAGATAGTTCATCCTCAGCCAACGTGTATTGTAGGACATGGAAGCCTCAGATCAATGTTTCTTTTTGACAAAGTAGATGTTTGGTTATCCACTGAAGCCTTCGGTATCACGATGGAAAGGGGGTAGAAACTAGTGAGGGAAATTTTTAGTAATGAGAGCGGAAATTTTCTTTACTTCCCTCTATCTACCATTTATCAGGTAGTTAATTGGTTGTTGGGGTCTAATAAGGGTATTCCCATTTAGAGAAGAGCTACTTTATTCAAAACAAAGGCATACCACAGGACAGAAATATGCAGTAAAAGGTATCAGCAGGCTACATGACTAAGGGTACTCAAGGGTATCTATTATCTGGGGGGCTTTGAAAGAAAGAGAATTTGGTTTTTAAAGTACATAGCATGCACAGAGGTCAGTGTTTTGACTGACAGGATTACTTTTCATAAGCCTAGCTAACTGCTCATGACTTTGCCAGGCCCAATTTTACAGATGTGCAGGCCCAATTACTTAAAAGATGAAATTGTAACAAAAGAAAAAAAATTATTATTGTTCTAGAACATTCATTTTGAGAACAGTTTGCCTTGTTGCACATGCACCTGAAACTACTTCATTGAGAATCAGCCTATTTCCCATGTGTTTTCCAAAAGGTATTTGAACACAATAAAGAGTTACTTAAGGAACTAACTTCTTTGTATTTTTAAAGCCTATATAGATACAGCCCACTAAAGATGATTTTCCAAGAAGTATACCAACAGATTACTAGGTTCACAGAGGACTGTGTGTAGAGCCCAAGCAAAGAAAAGTCCCGGGTCACCTAGTTTTCCCAATGTTGCCTCATCCACTGTTGTCCTAGTGCATAGTTACAAACGTATTATCAATTCCAACTTTTTAAAATTTTTAGCTTGTTCACATTCTTTTCCTCTACCAAAGTACTCTGAAATCTTTACATACAAGGTCATTTTAAGTTCTCTGATATAGGGCACAATTAAATTATGTTATTGATCACAATGGCACATTAATAGCTGTTACTTTAGTTCCCTACAGAGTCCTTGTTCTCACTGAAGCTCCTCACTGATCTGTGTGTACTCTGTAGGCCTTTGTTTCACCATTTTTGTCCTTGAATCATCTGCAGGAATGACTCATTCAGCTTTGTGTTGTGTGTTCAATTGTTTTTCTTCTGTAAAAAACCTTATCCTGCTAATTGCTGCAAATTCCTTCCAAAACAAGTTAAAAATGTCTACAAAGAAGAATCTGGTTAAGTTTACTCAACAGGAATGGCCCCAATTTTTAAATCCTTTCTTTTTTAGCATGTATTTGCTTTTTTATATGAGAACTCTATTTGCATGTTTGCCTTCATGACAGAAAATGTCTCCCTCCATTGTAGGTGGTTGTGAGCCACCACATAGTTGTTGGGAATTGAACTCAGGACCTCTGGAAGGGCAGCCAGTACTGTTAAACACTGAGCCATCTCTTTAAATGTATTCATTTATTAGGGTTTTCATCTGGCTGTCCTAAATAACTCTGAGATAAGCGACTTTAGGCAGAAGGAGTTTATTTCATATCACAATTGAAGGATATCATTCATAAAATGCATAAAACTATGAAGTTGCTAGTCACAGTGTACACAATCAGAAAGAGAGTAATGTGTAGTTTTCTGTGTCTCAGTTCCATCCTTCCACTAATATAATCCCTATAGAGTTCACAATATTCTACCTCTCAAGTTCATTTCAAGTTCTCCTATGTAGGGCAGAACAAAGTTATGTTCTTGAGTATAATAGCACAGAAATGGCCATTACTCTAGTTCCTGACAGAGTCCTTATTTTCACTGAACCTTCCTGATCCATGTCTCCTCTGTAGGCATTTCTTTACTATTTTTGTGTCTGAAGCATCTGCTAGAATTCTTGCTGCCTGGAGGACCAGCCTCCAGCAGCACAGGGCTCATAGAGAATCTACAGAGTCAGCATGTACTAACACTTTTTTATCTAAAGGGGTGAGGCAAAAAAAACCACACACACTCTTGGATGATTTCCTTCAGACCTTTTCTTTACTCTTTCATATTCTCTATTCTTTATTTTCCTGGTGATTTCCTTCTCTCACTCTTGATATTTTCCTTTTAACTTTATCTTTATTCTTGATGCTTTCCTTCAAACTCCTTCTAACTCTCCTAATGTTTTCCTCCTAATTCTCTCATTCTTCGTTTTCCTTCTAACTCTCTCATTCTTGATGTTTTCCTTCTAACTCTCTCATTCTTGATGTTTTCCTTTGAACTCATTTTAACTCTATCTTTATTTTTTTCCTTATAACTTATATACCCCAGCAAAATATTTCAGGCAATATAAAAATTACAGTGTAGTTACATTCTGCTTTTCAAGTGTATGATTACAATGAATACAAGTAAAAAACAGCATATTTTCCATATCTCTTACAAGATTAAACAGTTTACATATTAAAGGTGAAAAACAAATTATCCCAAGAACCCATTTATATTTATACCCAAGCAACTTGTTATAGATTAACAGAATTTAAGTAAGTAAGGTATTCTTTTACTGGTAGGCTGCATTTTACAGTCATAAAGAAAGGACTAGTCACTTTATTATTTACCTCAAAAGAAAATCTTATAAGAAATCTTAAAAGAATCACAAATCAAAACTTTATGTGAAAAAGAATCAGTCAACTCCACTTTAAATCTTTAGGGTGCATACCTACTCATCAATAATTTCTTTTTTTAACTTTTTTATTGAACCTGTGGGAGTTTCACATGCACCCCAATTCTACTCACTTCCTAGTCTCCCCATATCCCCCTTCATCCCTATTGCATCCCCCCATGAAAGAAAGCAAAACAAAGTAAGCAAGCAAACAAAAGCAAGAATAATAAATCAAAACAGAACAAAAGCCACACCAGAAACAGAAAAATCTCTGCTTCTCCCTCTCTCCTGACTCTCTATTACATCTTCATTCGTCCTCATGGCATTGGAGGCTTCGGTGTGTCATATAGTATGCCCCTTTGTACCATCACTTCACTGGCAACTGTTCATTGCAGTGAGTCATTGCTCTGGTCAAAGGCCTCTGGTTTTTCTTACACCAGCCTCACTGGATCCTCACTAGAGCTCTTCTGGAGTATCCTGTGTCTTGAAGATCTTGTAGGTATCATTCTGCAGGACCAATCTCTTCATGAGCTCCAGTAGGACCTAAATGGGGTAGATGCTTGGGTGGGTCAACACAAGACCCAATTGTGTGTCTGCATGTTAGCCAGGCAGGTCAGATCGAGCCTCAGGTGCAGTGAAGGAGTCAGCTTCTCTACATGCCTGACTTCAGGATAGGTTCACCCTCACCTGCAGGGAAGGGTGGGAGCCCTCTCCTAAGTTCAGGGGACAGCCCTCTTGCTGTAGTGGCCATGGGAGGCTATGCCAGCTTTCCCAGGACAGTGAAGGGTGGGATTGGCTCAGTATAGCCCTCTGATTTCATCTTGCATGATTCCTAAGGCCTCCTGAGGTGACACTGGCCACAGACACCAACACAAATCCCAGCTGCAGCTGGACCATGGACCCAGACATGGTCCTTGGCAGCAACTTAGGCCCAGACGACATCCTGGCTCTGCATGGAAGGAATGGCCAATCAGGTGGGTGTAGTCGGAAGTTTTTCTGTGTCCCACCTGGCTCGAGGTCAAGACAAATCTCTCATCCACAGTCCTGTAGCCTTTTATAAAATAATCACACAGAGGCTTAATACTAATTATAACTGCTTGGCCATTTGCTCAGGTTTATTACTGTCTAGCTCTTATATCTTAAATTAACCCATTTCTATAAATCTGTATTTTGCCACATGGCTTGTGGCTTACCAGTATCTTTACATCTTGCTTCTCCTAGCGGCAGCTAGCAGCGTCTCCTTGCTCTGTCTTTCTCCTTCTTTTCTCTCTAGTTAGAATGTCCTGCCTAACCTTATTCTGCCTCACCATTGGCCAAACAGCTTTATTTATCAACCAGTCAGAGCCACACATATTCACAGCATACAGAATGACATCACCCATCAGGTGGGAATTGTTGGCAGCCTGGGCCCAGATGACACCCTGGCCCTGGGTTGTAGCACAGGCCACCCATATCTACAGAGCCATGGACCTGGACATGGCCCTCGGTGGCAGCCTGGGCCCAGATGACACTCTGGCCCTTGGTGGTAGCACAGACCACCCATATCTATATGGTCCCTGCTGCGGCGTGCCCCCCCCCAACTCCACCCAAGCCACAGGCTTCAGCCCAGATCCTGGGCCTCTGTATGGGCCCTAGCGGCAACCTGTGCCACAGAGTTCAATGCAGACCCCGGCTGCAATTGTGCCACAGACCCAGACATGGCCTCATGTACCAGCTTAACCTGGTTGACATCCTTGTTCTGAGTGGTAGCTCCAGGCACTCAGATCAGGATGACTCTGATGGCAGAGCCCCTGGACACCGACAAGGCCATAGGATGCATCTTAGACCCCAGGTTTCATGTGGCCTTTGGTGACACTGTGGGGACATAGGCATCAACATAGACCTCAGCTGCAGTAGGACCATGGGCACAGACGTGGTCCTCAGGATTAGCCTAGGCCTGGTTGTCACCATGGCCCCAGGTGACAACAAAGGCCACCCAGATCAGTATGGCCCCAGTGGCAGCATGGCTCATGCACCCAATCCTGACCCAGGAGGTGGCCCAGCCCACTGGAGTCAGCATGGCACTGAGTGGCAACAGAAGCCTTGGATATCAACACAGACTCTGGCTACTATAGGACCAGAGACCCACACATTGCCCTTGGTAGCAGCCTGATCCAGACATTGCAATGGTCACAGGTGGTAAGCAGACCTTCCTCATCAGTCTACTCGATACTGCCATCATCATAGATCTAGGTGGAGAGCTGGCCTTCAACATCTGCCCAATCCTCTTCATTTACCTTGTAGCTAGAGTTTTCCTGCCTGGCCCACAGTCAGGACAAATCTCTCTCACCTGCCAGTCCCATAGCCACTCAGACCCGACCAAGTAAACACAGAGACTTACATATTGGTTACAAACTGTATGGCTGTGGCAGGCTTCTTGCTAACTGTTCTTACAGCTTAAATTAATCCATTTCTGTAAATCTATACCTTGCCACATGGCTCGTGGCTTACCGATATCTTTACATGCTGTTTCTCATTGTGGCGGCTGGCAGTGTCTCTCTGACTCAGCCTTCCACTTCCCAGCTTTATTCTCCTCCTTGCCCCGCCTACACTTCCTGCCTAGCCAATGGCCAATCAGTGTTTTATTTATTGACTAATCAGCAACACATTTGCCATACAGAACATCCCACAGCACTTCCCTTTTTTTTTTTTTCAAAAAGGAAGGTTTTAACCTTAACAAAGTAAAATTACATATAATTTGGGAATTTGGGCATAGCTTCTCTTACTACTTCCTGCTGGAGGGGGGCGCTGTATCTTATGGGGACACAAAGAAAATTTTATGATTATGGAATAGTCCATGAGGGTGTATCTTCTGAGCTAGTTGCTTTCAAACCATTCTGGATGTTGGATCATCTGGGCCATGGTGTCACTGGAGACCTTTCAGGGGGTCTTGGCTGGTCAAACCTGATGTATCTTAATCTGGAACAAATCCATAGCCTTTGGCTTTCTGTGGGAACAAAAGCAGAGACTCTTTTCCAAAGCAACATATCCTTATATCCAAATTTTGAAGTCATGGTATCTTTAAAATATACATTTTGGCATAACTCAACAGCTTTTACAATCAAATGTTTTTCTGCAGTTAAAAATCCCAAAGACAACACAATCCAGATTCTCTGTGTAATATTCATCATTATGTGGCTTATTTTTTATATTAATTTTACTGTCTCTTTAAAGACCTTATTTTTTAAAACTATGTATTTGTTTATATAACTGTATATATCACCTTTTTTGTCTCGTTCAAGCCTACGTATATTTTACACACATTGCAAACTATTACATCTGAATCTGTCTTATTGTGAATCTATTGCTTTAAACTGCAGCAGCTGTGACTGCTGGCTCCACCCACCTCAGCTTCCCAACATGGCCATGGTAGTTTACCGCCAGCTCTGGGAGCTATCCTGGGTCTATGCTTTTATCCAAGCAGCGTGAGCCCAGAAACCTCTTTTTTTGTTTTGTACTAGCAAAGGCTAAATCCACCATGCAGCTTAATGTGCCACTTGCAGAGGCCTCATTCCCACCATACTGCAGGTCGAGCATGCACGCTAGAAACCCACCAGTAGCTCAAACCGGCAGTTGCCGCTCATTTGAGACAATCAGGAAGCTGTTTTTAGCTCCGTTTTAGAATCTTTTTTTTTTCTCAGTTTTTAGGTGGAAACTCTTGCCACCACGTTGGACGCCATTTGTAGCTAGAGTTTTCCTGCCTGGCCCACAGTCAGGACAAATCTCTCTCACCTGCCAGTCCCATAGCCACTCAGACCCGACCAAGTAAACACAGAGACTTATATATTGGTTACAAACTGTATGGCCATGGCAGGCTTCTTGCTAACTGTTCTTACAGCTTAAATTAATCCATTTCTATAAATCTATACCTTGCCACATGGCTCGTGGCTTACCAGCATCTTTACATGCTGTTTCTCATTGTGGCGGCTGGCAGTGTCTCTCTGACTCAGCCTTCCACTTCCCAGCTTTATTCTCCTCCTTGTCCTGCCTACACTTCCTGCCTAGCCAATGGCCAATCAGTGTTTTATTTATTGACTAATCAGCAACACATTTGCCATACAGAACATCCCACAGCATTTATGTGTCTTTTCATGGAGTATGAGTCTGATTCTCTAACTCTCCCAATTCTCCACCCCTTATTTCCTTAAAATGAGGGGGCCCACACACCCCACCCAAGGACCTGGGCTAGCTTTTTTCTAACTTGCTGGGAAGCAAGCGAGGCCCTATCTGAGTGAGCCTACATCAGGTGGGTGTAACTGTCCTCTGCCAGCCTGGCATCAATAGTTTCTTATATCAGGAGGTTGAGGGCAGAAATGGGTATAAGGAATTAATCATCACCTTTGGACATCAACCAATCCTAGCAAGAAAGGCATGTCAGCTAATGATAATTGGGCTGCTTTGTTCTTGTTCCCTGACCTTAATGAAATCCTCATTTAACTATGTGCCTTTCTAATACTAGAAAGATTTCTAATACTAGATTGTCTTCTTGGTATTTCACCGCAAAGCTATTTGACAAAAATATCTTAGTCTAACTTTAAGTTATTTTCAAAGCTTTGTTTCAGCTATGATGGTCTTCAAAACCTGTGAACACATCTCCCAACATTAAGGTTAATAGAATTTAAGCTAGCTGGTCTATTGGGACTCAATTGTTTTTCTTATTCATCAACCTAAGCCACAGTCTATATGGCTCCTCAACAGAAATTTGTGTCTAGTTATGTGACACTTGCTTGTTTATAGTTTTATTCATCAAAACTCTATTTAAACTAAGATTATTATTATCAATTAAACAGTATGGCTTAGGAAGAAATCATCTTCAAAATAATCCACAGGTAAAAGTGCCCAGTAGAACAGGTTGTTTCCATAAGATAAACACACTACATTAAAAGCAGTAGGGATCTCCCCACATCCATTCATACCAGAGAAAGATGGCATCAGCAAACATATAAAGGCACAGAGGAAGCAAAAGACATTCTGGAGTCTGGTCCAGGGCCTTGCCTACTGAGATTCACCCATGAGGGATTTCCCTCCTGGTGGGCTGACATCTGAACTTCAATTGCTATCTGTTGCTCCTCTGACATGGCCATATTGAATGACTCACTCAGCTTTGTATTTACTGTGTTCAATTATTTTTCTTCTCTAAAGAAAATTTTATTGCTGATTTCTGCACATCCCTTCCAAGGCAAGTTAAAAATTACTACAAAGAATCTGCTGAGATTTACTTACAACAAAGGTCCCACCTTTAAAAATTTTTTTTAAAGATATATTTGCTTTTGTATATGATGCTCTATTTGCATGTATGCTTGCATGAAAAAAGAGGGAATAAGATCCCATAATAGATGGGTGGTTGCTGGTAATTGAACTTGGGACCTTAGAAGAGCAGCCAGTGCTTTTAACCACTGAGCCATCTTCCTAGCCCTTAAATATATTCCTTATATTAGGCTTTTTATCTGGATGTCAAAAAAAGACTCTGAGAAAATAATTCAAGGCAGAATGAGAATTGAAGGGTACAGTTCATAAAATGCACAACTATGAGGCTGCTGGTCAAATGAAACACAATTATGAATAGAGAAATGTGTAGTTTTCTTTGTCTCAGCTCCCTCCTTCTACTAATCCCTATATAGTTCAAAAACTGCTGACTCTCAAGTTGCTGTGTGTGTTGTTTTGAATGTGACTGACCTCCATAGGCTCACATATTTGAAATCTTGGCACTGTTTGGAAATTTTTAGGATATATGTCCCTATTGTAGGTGTGTCAATGGCGATGCTTTTTGAGGTTTTAAAAGTCCATGTCAGGCACAGTGTCTGTCTGTTTGCTGCTGCCTTTGGATAAGGAGTAAAATATTCACCCGCTGTCCCAGCTCTGTGCTTATTGGTTTTCCACTATGATAATCATTGACTAATCCTTGAAAAGTGTAAGCAAGCTCCAATTAAATGCTTTCTTTTATAATAGTTACATGGTGATAATGTTTCCTCATGGCAGTTGAATAGTAACTGAGACAGTGGGTCTTCCTTTATTACATCAGGTAATCAAGATAGCATCCCAGATATACTCTTCGGTAAATCCTATTTACTGATGATTTAGAGGTATTTATTTTCAGAAACATATATGCTAGATGATTCTGTATCCTGTCAGTCTGTCAGTTAAAACTAACCATGCTAATGTATGCACTCTTAGGAGCCAGTGACCTTTGAGGATGTGGCTGTGAACTTTACCTTAGAAGAGTGGGCTTTGTTGGATTCTAGTCAAAAGAAGCTCTACAGTACTGTGATGAAGGAAACATTTTTGAACCTGATCTCCATAGGTAAAAAACCCAACATGCTCCCATTGCTTATTCAGTCAGAGAACAACTGTTTTCTGCTTATATGTGTACTGTTGTGATTTGGATTCTTGAAGGGAATATGTGGGTGAATTTAGTGTGAATACTCATGTCATAAGAGCTAGGTTGTAATAATTTTTTATGTTTAATATGTCATAAAGTATTCTGGATTTTCTTCTAGAGAAAGCACTAGAAGATAATACTGAAGAGGACTACAAAGATCTCAGCAGAAATATGGGGTAATTTATATTCAAATAGAAAATAATATATGTCAAAGATTTGGGGATCATGGGACAACTGAGATCGTCAAATGTTCCAAGTACACCTAAGTAAAAAATGATGCTACACAGATTCCTGTAATGGAGCATTGAATTGTGTCTTTAAATATTTGAGAATCTCATCTGTGTAATCTATTAATATCACCAATGTGTCATATAACATTAAGCTCTAAAAGAGCTTTTCACAAAAACTTCTGATCGTATCCAAAACTATTACTACCTTTCTATATATTCTTTTGAGGCTTTGAATATACATGCTGTTTTGTTTGCTTTCTTTTGCTGTGACAAAAGCAACTCTGGGGTGGAGCTCATTTTTATTTACTCTTCCTTGTCACAGTCTCATCATAAAGCCAAGCCAGGGCAGGAACTCAAGCATGGCAGGAACCTGGAGGCAGGAACTGAAGCAGAGGTGATGGAGAAGTGCTGTTTGCTGATGTGCTCCTCATCTCTTATTCAGCTAACTGCCTTATTCAGCCCTGGCCACATCTCTAGGGGGACACCACCCACAGTGGGCTCGAACACTCCATATTAATCAGTGATCAAAAAATGCCCCCACAGACATGTCTAAATGTGATAAAGCCATTTTCTCCTTTTTGGTTCCCTATTCTCTGATGTATGACAAGTTTGTGTCAAGTTGACCAAAACTATCCAGCAGGTACCTTTCCTGAATAGCTGCTCCCCTCCTGCCCTTTGGCACACTACCCAGTATTTTCTAAGCCCTCCTTCATCAATCAGGAATGTGAAATGCTCCCACAGACTTGTTTTTAAGCCATTCTCATTGAGCCATTTTCTCCATTGAAGGTCTCTAGGTGGATCTAGTTGATAACTAACTAACCAACACTGGCTTAGCATTTAGAATGCCAAAATGCCACCGTGTTTAACCACTCTATGTGATTGTTATGTTGGTCTACTTCATTAGGACTTTTGCCTTCATGTTTACTCCTTTTGTGCCTCTCAATTATTTTATATATGTGTATGTTTATGTATTCTTATGTACACCACTTGTGACAGAAACATTTATGGAAGGCAGAAGGGAGCAAGAAATCTTTGAGATTAAGTAACAGGAACTTATGAGCCCTCCACATGAATGCTGGTCATCAAACTTTGGTCTGCTGAAGGACTAAGAGTTGTTCTTAACCTCAAAGCCTGTGATACAGCTCCTTCATAATTCTTGTAGAAGTAAAGTCATCACTCTACACACGACAGGGTCTTTACATGTGGTCCACATTATCCTTAAAATGGGTGGCATTCTTCTGTTGCCCCTGAGATGGAATAGTTGTAGTAGCTCACAGAAGCAGCCTCCAATATTTCCCTTGACTACAGTAATGCTTTTCTCATTTTTTTTTTCAGAATTCAGGTGATTGAGAAAGACTGTGAATATGAATGTGATAGTGACTGTGATAAAAACCAGGAATCTATTCCAGAGAATATTGTCAATGAAGATATACCTCCTGGAATAAGAGTTCATGAAAGCCTATTGCATGTAAGAAATGTTATTAGTTATTCCTTCTCACATGGATATCTCAGAGACCAAACTAAAGGGATACCATCTCTAGATAAGGAAGCTACAAGAAAAGCTTTTACATATCAGAAACGTTGGAAAAATACCAGTCATTTTGAATCAATTCAGGTACTTGAAACTCCGAAAGAGAAACCCTATAAAAACCAAAAATGTCATGAAACCTCTAGGAGTCTCCCTTTTGATCAGCCTCAGAAGAGAACTCACACTGGAGATAAACTCAAAGAAAATGACTTAACAAGAGACACATATGGCCAAAATGATGAAGGAATTCATAAAGAAGTAAAACCATTTGTATGTAAACTCTGTGAAGAATCCTTCATTGATTCCAGTGATCTTATCAACCATGAAAAAAGTCATATTGGAGAGAAAAGGTATATTTGTAGGCAACGTGGCAAAACATTTAATTATGCAAAATGTTTTGAAAACCATAAAGTAATTCACAAAGGAGAGAAGCCTTATGCTGATAAACATTTTGGAAAAGCTTTCACACAGTGCAATTATCATAATAGTCATGAAAGCAGTCATATTAGACAGAAGCCTTATGCATGCAAGCATTGTGGGAAAGCATTCACCAGTTCCACTTACCGAAACATTCATGAAAGAATTCATACTGGAGAAAAGCCTTATGTGTGTAAGTATTGTGGAAAAGCCTTCACCAGTTCTGCTCATCGTAATATTCATGAAAGAATTCACAGTGGAGAAAAACCTTATCCATGTAGACATTGTGAAAAAGCCTTCAGTGACTTAAGTCGTCGTAACAGACATGAACGGAGTCACACTGGAGAGAACCCTTATGCATGTAGGCATTGTGAAAAAGCCTTCAGCGACTCCAGTCGTCGGAACAGACATGAAAGGATTCACACTGGAGAGAAGCCTTATACATGTAAGTATTGTGGGAAAACTTTTACCAATTTCACTTCATGTAAAGTTCATGAAAGAATTCACACTGGAGAGAAGCCTTATGCCTGTAAGCATTGTGGAAAAGCATTTACCTGCTTCAGTCAGATGAACGTTCATGAAAGGGTTCACAGTGAAGAGAAGCCTTATGCATGTCAACATTGTGGAAAAACCTTCAAAACTACTGCTTGTCGAAACTTGCATGAAAAAATTCACACTGGAGAGAAAGACTTTGTCTGTAAAACATGTGGGAAACTGTTTATTCAGTCTAGTGATCTTAAGAAGCATGAAAGAGTTCACTCAAAAGACAAGCCTTATACATGTAAGCATTGTGGAAAAGCTTTCAGTGACTCCAGTAGTTGTTGCAGACATGAAAGGCGTCACACTGGAGAGAAGCCTTAGACACATAAGCCTTGTTAAAAAACCAATTTCTGTTTGTATAAGGCTCTTGAAATAGTCCACACTGAAGTGAAACCTTATGCATGTAAGCATTGTGGAAAAGCATTTACCCACTCCAGTCATCCGAACATTCATGAAATGATTCACACTGGACAGAAGCCAAATGCATGTAAACATTGTGGAAAAACCTTCAACACTTCTACTTGGTGTAACTTGCATGAAAAAAAATCACACTGGAGTCAACCCCTTTGTGTGTAAAATGTGGGAAACTTCATTCAGTCCAGTGATTTTAACAAGCATGAAATAGTTAACTCAAGAGACAAGTCTTATGCATGTAAGGATTGTGGAAAAGGCTTCAGCTGCTCTGGTGATCTTAACAGACATGAAATGTTGTTCATGTCTGTTAAGCTTCACACTAGTTGGTAGCCTAATACTGGTAAGCATTGTGGGTAACCTTCACTATTTCCGGTTGGCACAAAAGTAATAAAAACATTCACACTGGAGAGAAACCCTCTGTTTGTAAACATTTGAGAAACTATTTCTTTGTTCTTGTCATTTTATCCAGCATAAAAGATCTCACACTGTTGAGGAACCTTATCATCCTCAGCAATGTGGGAAAGCCTTCACCCCTTGCAGTTTCTGTAACCCCTCATACAAGAATTTACATCTGAAAGAGGCCTAGTGCGTGTGTGCATTTAAGTATTGTGCAAAAACCTTCATCAGTTCCTGTTGCCATGATGTTCTTGAGAATTCACCCTGAATACAGGCCTTATGTACATAATCATGTGGAAAATCCTTTAGAAGCTCAAATACTCAATTTTTTTCCCCACTGGTGAAAGACATTATGTTTGGAGTAATGTTCAAAAATATGTAAAGTTTTTAGAAACCTTGTCTTTTTAAATAATCTGTTCCTGAATTTCTGTGTTTCAAATCCATGTTCAAACCCAAAATGTTCTCACAGTGATAACTGCAGTGTGTAGAACTCTTACTACTATTAACAGTGACAGTGCACTGGTCAAATTCTTGTGTTGTGAGGTATGAAAAAAAATGTGGTTGAACCATGAGATGTAATAGTTGGTAATGGTTCTTGCCAGAAAATGTGATTATCTCAGTTACCTTCGTGAATCTTACCTGGTGGAAATGGAAACCCACTTCCCAAAAGTTGTCTCCTGAGAATCACATGCACACATCCTAATGAACAGAGAGTGAGAGATGGAAATGAGCAAAGAAATAATGACATTTTCATAAGAGCAGAGACATAACTAACAAATACAATATTTTAATGTGAAAAGAAACAGATTGTGAGACTTGCAAAAGTGTAATTTTAACGCCCAATATTTTACTATTTATAGTATGAAAACCACTTGCAGTATGAACAATAATATCTTTTTTTGGTGGTGGTTTTGTTTTTTTTCTTTAGCTGGCTAAGGCAGCAGCAGCTTTGAAAACAGCTGTAGTGGTTATATACTTGAGAATGGCCCAGTAGGCTAATAAGTGTTCCCATTGGTGGAACTGTTTGAGGATGATTAGAAGGTATGGCCTGTTGATGAATATCTGTCAGTCTAGACAGGTTTTGAGATTTCCAGACATTGACACTCCTAGTGTTGTCTCTCTGCCTCCTGATTATAGATTATCACGTGAGCTCTCACTTGTTCCTACCACCATGCCTTTGCTCCGCCATCACAGGCTCTAACCTTCTGCAATTATAAGCCCAATATGACAAATCATTTTAAAAGTTCCTTCACTATTTCTGATGTGTCACAGCTATAGAAAGAAACTTAGACAACCACCTTGAGGCTTTAAGAAGAACCAATTCCAGTCAAAAAAATTTATTGCAGACTTGTGAAAAAGCTGGGTGTCATTTAAAATGAGATAAAAGTTATGAAACTTTTCTCATATACTTGAATCTTATATCAGAAATAAATACTTTCTGGAAGTTATCCCAGGAATTTCAGAAAAAAAAGTTTAAAAGAAGTACATTAAAATTTTGAACATTTTTATTATTGGCTCATTCCTATACAGGAGATTTACTTTGAATTGTTTTATTAGGAAGGCAAGACATGGTTTCTGTGGTTACTCCAGGTTATCTTCTCACATCTGAAGATTTGGAGCTAGGAAGCACAAATGACAGAAGAAAAGAGAGATTTATCTTTCTGAGTCTGGGTTAGCACACTCATTTTCTATTTGATTCCATCTACCAAACAGTTTTTCAATTTAGGAATTCTTTGTGCCTGAATAGTAGAGGGAATAGCTGGATGTGGCTGACATGAGGGGGCACATGTGAAATCCTTGGAGGAAGAGATTTCTAATTAGGGATGAATTGAAGACAGTCAATACAGGAGAGAAATGAGGGACAAATACCAATGTTGTTTGGTAATGGTTAAGAAGTAGTTATTTTGTAAACATCCAAAATTTTATACCATACATAGTGTGAATAGTAAATATATCTATTATAGAAAATGTAATAATGATATATAATATATAATAAAGGTGTGAATACAAGATTATGTACACTCATGGGTAAACACAGGCACATATTAAATGAGATTATGTCACTTGTCTTGACAGTCCCTACCCCCAAGAACGCTACATTATTAAAAACAATAGTACCAGGCATGAGGAATCTCCATTTGAGTATTTCATGATAGTCTATGTAATTCCTCAAGTAATTTAACATATGACTCTTTCCTTTGGTCATATCTGAGAGGTTTAAGGTAAGTCGTATTTGCCAAAGCATCCCACGTTTTGGAGTAGGACTGGGAAGGGCTAACCTGGATCTAACATCAAAACCACCTTCATTAGTCTGTCATAGTAATAGATACAGTGCAATTTGGCAAGTGGGAGAAGTAGTCAATAGGCCTCCCAGCTGTGACTTCTGCTGTGATTTAGATGAGAATGCCCCCCATAGATTCCTATATTTGAATGCTTGGTTACCAGTTGGTGGAACTGTTGGGAAGGATTAGAAGATGTGGCCTAGTTGCAGAGGGTTAGTTACTGGGGTTGCTTTAAGGTTTCAGTGCTGACATTGTTCCAAGTTAGCTCTTTCTCTCTGCCTCCAACTTTTATATCATGATGTAAGCTCTTAGCTAATGTCCATTACTATGCTTGCCTGCCTGCTGCCATGTTACCTGTAATGATAATCAAGGGCTGTAACTTTTGGAAACATGAGTGCCAAGAAGTGTTTCCTTTCATAAGTTTTGGTCATGAGGTCTCTTTGCAACAATAGGAAAGTAACTAAGAACCATATGAAGCCAAACAGTGATCAGCTTGGCAAGATATCAGTAATGGTGCAATAGTAGCATCCATGTCTTGTTGGTAACCAGCTACTGTATAATTAGATTTAAGGCTTGCCCAACAGGAGGGGAATCATGCCTGGAACTAGCAATGATACCAATGAATCAGGATAGTGAGATCATGAATTTTAGAGAACCTACTTCTGCCACTTTCCAGGACTCCACATAATTCCTGAGTCTTAAAACTTATCTTTATACTCACAGAAGTATAGCCCATACCTTTCTGTAAACAATCTCTCTAGAGCAAACAGACAATTCCAGCCTTGCTTTATTCTCCTCTTGCATTTTGAGGAAAGGGGGATGTAGATTTGGATACTTTCTATTTTTACAGTGATATAATCACTGAATAAAAGTTGTATCTGCTTCTTGTCAGTCTTAGTTCCTTTCCAGGTACTCCTCACCTCATATTTTCTCTAAATTTGTTGACTTTATGTTAAAGTTTTTAATTTTGTTTATTGAAAGAATAGATTAAGTGAATGTAATACCAAGGTCCAAGACAAGGAAGGCATGTACGTTAATCCCCCTGTTGTGATACTGATGATGGGCAGTTCCATTCTCTGACATACACTGACCAAAATGTAGCCATGTGACTTAAGGAAAACTGTAAACATGATAGAAGTAAGGTCTGAAGGATGTCCTTTAGGGGTTGCATGAGCTATGTCATCTCTTGATACCAACTTTAAAATCAGCATCAAATAGCAATTGCTTAGTGATCTAAGTGTTTAAAAGAATTATCCATTATAACTAAATACTAATCTTTATGATTATATTAGACTTTTAGATTTTTTTTTTTTTTGGTCTTTTTGAGACAGGGTTTCTCTGTGTAGCTTTGCGCCTTTCCTGGAACTCACTTGGTAGTCCAGGCTGGCCTCGAACTCACAGAGATCCGCCTGGCTCTGCCTCCTGAGTGCTGGGATTAAAGGCGTGCGCCACCATCGCCCGGCTTAGATTATTTTTTAACCATTTAATGATAATGTCTCCACACAGTAGGGTGGGAATACTAGACCCCCAGAGTAGGTTCTTTTATTTTACAGACATTTCACATTGTAGCTGAAAGTTTTCCTGTGCTCACCTGGCTCCAAGATCCCACAGCCTCTTATAAAATTCCTGTGTCCCGCCTGGTCCTGCAACCACTCAGACCCAAGTAAACACCTAGAGGCTTATATTATTTACAAATGATATGGCCTAATGGCTCAGGCTTCTCACTAGCTAGTTCTTATATCTTAAATTAACCCATTTCTATAAATCTATACTTTGCCACGTGGCTCTCGGCTTACTAGTATCTTTACATCTTTTGTTTCTCATGGCGGTGGCTAGCAGCATTTCCTCTGCTCTGTCTTTCTCCTTTCTCTCCATCTGTTTGGATTTTCTGCCTGCCTCTCAGCTGCCTTGCCATAGGCAAAAGGGCTTTATTTATCAACCAGTCAGAGCAACAGTTTTTTCCACAGCAAACAGAAAGATATTACCTCATCATCACATAACATAACCATGAGATTCTAAAGGAAACGGTTTACCTTTTTTTTCCAAATATTGTAGCTACATGATTACATTTTCCCCAATAATTCCAGATTCAATAAAATATTAATGACGTATCTGCTAAAGCAAATTACATTTTGTTTTAGAAAAAGAATTCAAGTTTACACCCTGACAGTTAAGGCCTCTTGTGAATCCTTACTTTCTGACTGGAAGCTTAGGCCTGGATGACTAATTAAAGCTGGATTTCAGTGGAAACCATGCTATCCCAGTTCTCAGTAAGCCTTTAGGCCTTGGTTCTAGTCAAATTAACTGGAATCAACCAATGTAATGGCTCTATTGCATTGTCGTCTATTAGTAATACTCAAACTGCCTCAGCTACTATTACGTTTACCAGGTCTCAAATAAGCAGGAGATATGAGTTTCCAACCTTTGAAGCTTTTGACACCTGTCAGTATGATATTTAGAGTGGTATTAATTGTTTTATAATATCTTAAAATGTTAGTTTTTTGGGTTTTTTTTGTTGTTGTTTTTTTTCGAGACAGGGTTTCTCTGTGTAGCTTTGCGCCTTTCCTGGAACTCGCTTTGTAGACCAGGCTGGCCTCAAACTCACAGAGATCCGCCTGGCTCTGCCTCCCGAGTGCTGGGATTAAAGGCGTGCACCACCACCGCCCAGAGATTTCTATAAAATGAATATTACTTTGATCATGAAAAATAGTTTTCATTCAGGTATGAGTTAACACTGTTACAGAAATATCAACCATTTATGTTGAGAATTTTTTTAATTTTACTTTAATTATGGTGATTCTTATGAGTAACCAAAATAATACGTCAAAAATTTGTTTTATTTCACTTGGCATGAATCTGGATAATATACATAGTAAGTCCTTGTTGAATGAATTGCTATAGATTACTTTCCAGAAGTATTTTTCTAAAATTTTTTAATTTTATTTTTCATGCCTGTGGGTATTTGGCCTGCATGTTTCTTTGTACCTCATGTACATATCTTGTGCCCATGGAAGCCAACTTGGCTCTTTTTCTATGAAATTTCATTTTTCTTTGTTAGGATGACAGGATATAAAATACCAATCAAAAGTCACATTCAAATCTAAGAATGTTTATTCTATACAAATAAAATTGTCTATGCTGGTAAGTATTAAAAGAACAATAATACCTCATTTCTAAGATAATTTAAACTTATAACATTAAGAAGTAAGACTGATGAACTGTCTACATGTGTTCTCCTCTTTAATAATTTGTTTTCCCAAGTTTGATTTTGTCCAATTTAATGTAAAGAAAAAGCTAATTTAAATACCAAAATGGTGATGTCTGTTCAGCCTCCTTAAAGTCTTACCAATAATTAGTTTAGGCTCTATGTCATTGACATCCAAGTTTCTTAGATTACAGTCATATCTTTAAAAGGACAGACTTTAGATTAAGGATTGCTGATGCTAGTAAAATATGATCAAAGATCTAACCTACAGCCTAATCTAAAAATGAAAATTGATATATCTTTGCCTTTAAAATGGTCTTCATGATACCTATACATGTATGTATTTTTGCATGTTCTTTTTTATATTGTTTCCATAGTATAATTTGGCTTATAATTAAGAGGTATTTTAATTAAAACTTCCAAGTTGGCCTAAATTTCTTTTATTTTTTAGTGTAATTAGAGCCTTTTGAAAATAAAAGTTAAATTAAACATGATCCAACATGATATTTGATTAGTCATCACCTCAGCTTTGCATTTATAAGAAGTCTAAAATGCCCTTGTTTCTCTCAGGACATAATACCTTCTATACCAGGGTTCAATTTCATTATTATGAACAATATCCTCATCTTGGAAAGAGTTCATTAGGCTTTACCATTCCTAAAATGTAAAGACTGAGAAAATAAATTAGCCCTGTGATTTCAGTTTCCTAAGTAATTAATATGGTTAAAATATATCCCCAAGTACTCTGTTTCTTCAAAATATTTGTTTATGTTTTCAACTAAATGTCAGAATGCTAATTAACAAATAGAGCCTTATGTCAAGTTTATTTAAGAGTCTTTCCTTGTCAAGCTTGAGCCAAGTATTATATATCAGACAAATAACATTTTATTTAAAAAACCCCTTAGATGTATGTATTTTATTTTATATGTAAAAATGTTTTGCCTACATGTATGTATGCTCACTATGCTTCATTCCTGTGTAAGTCAGAAGGGGACCAGATTCCTTGGAACTGAAGTTGTTGTTGATTCTGAGTCTCCAAGTCATTGCTGGAAATTGGACCTTTGTCTTCTGTAAGAACAATAAGTTCTCCTAACCCTGCACCATCACTGTAGCAGCAGCAACTCAACTTTCAAACAGAGTTTTTAAAATATTTGATCAACTGTCCTTCTGGGTGTTTGATATGCATACTTGGAAACTCATATCAATGTGGACAATGACCAGAAGAATAATGTTTTGGACCCTATCTCTAGTTCTTATAAGTCCTATGGGATGTCATGACACCTTGACTTTTCCTCCAGCTCTGATAAATCTCCTGACTCTGGTTCAGAGAGGTTGTGAGAAGGAAGAATCAGATGTTGGATCTAAGCCATGTATACTCTGGACAATGGAGATTCAACATGGGGAGAAAATGCCATCAATGTTCCCAAGAGAAGTACTATGGTCCACAAGGACTCTGACTCATCTCAGAAGGCAAAACCCCTGTTAAAGGTTAAAGTAGATGGTGACGCCTCTCAACCAAAAACTCAAGGACTGGAGTCTAATTTGGCCTTAACATCACATGCTATAATAACAACACTATTTTTATAAAAGTAAGAATAGCAAGTCAAAACAATTATAATGATGGCGATAGTTAATTTTTTGCCATCCACATCAGGAAAGTATAACCAAAGATGAAAATGGTATCTATTAGACAAAGCTGTCCTGGACTTCCAAAGGGACAAATGATAATTGAGGCCTTGACCATTCTTTCCTACCAATTGAGTCCTGGGTAAGATGTATTAACATATTGTGTAGAACAATCTTAGCCACCCCAAGTATAATGCCAAAATATGCTTTATATTGATCCCTTTAGATGGGTTTACCTAAATCTATCATGAGTCACATCATTTTCATACTCTGATTTTCTTATTTTTCTTTCACTGCTGTAGGTACTCAGTGGTTAAAACTCCAAACTCTCTTTTCATCTCTTCCACCAGCTGATAGTTTCTCCAGGTTCTTTGTTTCTCACTGCATTTTTAATATGTAGTCTCCAGCTATTTTTTTGTTTTGTTTTGTTTTGTTTTCATAGTCCAACAGATCATCACCCACTCCTGTCACTGACAACTAAAAACAATTAGAAAGCCATGTCTCACCAACAAACATGTGCCATGACTTTCTTGGTATCCCTTGCCCTTTCAGAGATCACAGATTATCATACTTATGCTACTATTATATAAACTTTAGCATCTTTGAAAAGGTTTGAGACATTAAGTGGGACATTAATGTAGGTTCTTCTTGGTCTTGAGACAAAGCATTCTATATAATTATTGAAACCTTAAGCTCTAAAGGAGCAAAATACTCAGATTAACAGCATTCTGCAACTTTATCCTCATGGGAACTAATATAAAGAGAGACCATGAAAGCAGAGTTAAAATTCACGTCAGTATTTTCTTAAATTGAGATGTGGGGAGGATGGGCAGGGGAGAGAGGGTGAGAGGTTTTCTGCTAGAAACATTTCAGCTGGTCATGGCAGGGTGGACAAATATTCTGTGCAGCCAGGTCCTCCCAAGCGGTCTAACTGGGGGTCAAAGCCCTCTGTCCCTTGGCCTTTTTTTGCTACCAGTATGCCAAGAGAGGCCACTGAAACACAATTCCAAGAAATGGCTGGTGGTGATCCACTTCCTTAGTGATGGGCTAGCTGAGCTGCCCCTGACCTTAGGTTATTTTGTATTGTTGTTTGCCTGCTTGATTTTTCTGTTTTGTTTTTGTTTTTACCTCATAATGGAAATAACAAAATATAGATTGTTCATGGTCCCTTCATGAGAAAAATTCTCAAAAAAGCCCAACCTCTAATACAGTAACAATTACAATTAGAACATTAAGCAGTTAAGTCAATGTAGTAAAATTTCCTGAGGTTTTAGTCATTCAGAATATGAATGAAATTTTCTTCATGTATAATAAATATGTAAATGAATGCTTAACTTTCATAGTAAATGACCTAAAAGAGCACATTATAATTTTGAGTTAGATCAATTGGATATGCTCTTCTCTGCTTATCAAAACTAAGGATATTTGTCTCTGCTCTTTAAGTTACTTTCTGGAGACTCCATTTAAATTATACAAAACATGTATCACCTGAAGCTAAGGGGATCACTAGCTTATTAAATGATGCTGCTACTAAAGTGATAGCTCATAAAAATTAATCCCTTAGTGCTAAAGAGCCTGTATAGCTAATTGTGCCACTAATTGAAAATCAGGCTGATTATTTCTCCACACAATAGTTAATTGGCAGCTTACATTGATATTCTACTCTATCACATGAAGGATAGAGATATCTCTTGGGCGTGTATATAAAGTCTTTATCTCAGGATTTACAAATTCATTGGGTATGTTTGGTTTAAAAGTCTGTAAAATCTCTAACAAAAATTTAGCTTAAACTTGTAACAAAAGGCTGATAGTTAAATCTATACAATGGTAATTTTAATTTGCTATAATATACTACATATATGAGTCAATGCTTGTTTAAATAATATGGGTCTCCTAAAGTATACTGTGTATACATAACTTAAATTCATCTCTTGTTTAGGAAAATAGATGTTTTTGAATAGCAACCACAAGGCTTGCCTCTGTCTAAGCAACCACAAGGCTTGCCTCTGTCTTCACCAATGACCTCCTCAGGATGGAAAAGACCATGTGGCTGACAGCCATCTTTAGTATATGCTATGTAACTTCACCATCATCTTAAGAAGACCAGCTGGTATAAAACAACTGAAGCAGCACCTGTATTACTTCTTAGTCATGCTGAGCCCTCTGCTTATTTTATCTTCTTTTTAAATGAAGGGGGCAACAGAAGGTCTGCAACATATTTTGCATTAAAATGAATTTTTATATGATAAATTCCTAAGGATATAAAGGCATACTCAGGCTAACAAAAACTAGCTTAAATATGTACATCTAACTACTATGTCTTTGCTAACTATATATCTACCCACTTACGTCTTCACTAAGTATTCTAGATAATTTTAAATAAAACCAGCATGTTTCATAAATAAGGTATGTTTAATAAACAAGGTCTGAATTCCTAAGGTCTATTCAGGCTAGAAAAACTGATTTCAAAACATATGTCTAACTTCTGTATTTGTGGCTGTATTTATGATTTAAAGTTTTATTGTGATGATAATTGATCTTCAAATTTGAAGGCTCAAATTTAATGAATATATATCACCAAAATCCTCTTATAAAAGCTACTAGCTCATAAACGTGGAAGACAATTAAGAAATACAAGTTAATATATCTTATAAATGATCAAATTATTTAATGTGCTCAGAACTATATTTAAGAGTCATGATATTTAAACGTAACTCATAAACAGAAGCTTTGTTTAGCCTTCTGCATATGTCTTCAAGGTTAAGCCTAAAGCAAGTGACTAAAACCAAATAATGTTTGTTTGAAATTGGACATACTTAATAGATTGTCCTCAAAATCCTCCAAGATATACTAAATATAGCATTTAAGATGACCCATGATTAATAAAAAAATCATCTGAAATTATAATTCCAGCTCTAATTTATCTTTCTCAGATCTCTGGTGATATTGATAACTAACCAGAACTTCATCAGTTTAACAGCAGCATTAGCAAAACAAATAACTGTATCTTGTCTTTCATTACTAAAACTTCATTTTTAAATTTTATATTTTTATATAGCATAACAATTGTTAAAATAACAATGTAAATAGATGTGATCAATTTTTTTAAATTAAGTAGAAATAAATTGAAATTTAAAAATTAAAAAAAATTGGTTAATATGATGGCTAAAATATGCAAGCATAATTATATGTTTCTAAAATTACTCTGGAGACAAAAATGGTCAAACTAAAAGTACATTTAATAAAAATTAAATTATTTAAAAGTTTTCACTTAAAATTATTTTTGATACAGCATGAGAATCCGTTACATCATACTGTATACAAAATGTAATAAAAATTAAAGCCTTCTAACAACTTCCTCCATAAAACTGTCGTGCTTTGATATTGTTTACAGTTAATTTTTGTTTGATATTGTTAGCTTCATGGTAATTACATATATGTGAATAAACATTTTCTGTGTAACATTTTGTAGATTTTTAATAAATTTTTATAGTTTGTATGTGTGTGCCAGCCCACACATTCGTGCAAGTGCCAGAGGTCAGAAGAGGCTATAGTGCCATCATTACCAGGATGTCCCCCCACAAGACAACAGTGCCTTGGGTCAGTTATGGGCATGGAGATAAACCACTACAGAGACAGTTTCACGGAACATCATCTGCTCTATTGTACATAAATAACTGCATATATAGTGGAAGCCTATGGACTGTGATTGGTTAGCACATTACCTCTGATTGGACAGTGAGCACTCATACCACCAGAGTCTCTATACAGAAGAAGCACATTAAAGGAGACATGGTGAGTGTCTCATGTGTAGCCTAGCTATGATCTACTCATGATATTTCAGAATTCAGTGATCTGACTTCTGAGAATACTCAGGAACATGTGCCATGCTTCTTAATTAGAAGGACAGTATGCCAGATGGGCTGGATGGGACATAACCGACATTTCCTCCTACAGTGTATGATGCCCAAGAACTATAAGCAGTTGTGAACTGCCTGAGAATATTAAGATACAAACTCCAATATGCTGAAAAGAGCAGTAAGTGCTTTTAATTTTTGCATTATTTCTACCCCTGCATTTATATAAATTCTGCTTTGTACTCACAGGATTCATCAAATAAACATTTGCAGTGTTTTATTTTTCAATTTTTACTGACCCTTTAATCTTTAAACTGCTTCATATATTTGATAAATTTAATATTTCAAATTTTCAGTTTCCCATTTCAGTCCAATCAGACCGAATTAGAAAAAGCCCTGGTTTAATGGGTAAAGCATTTCTGGGTGATTCTCCAGCCCCCCAAGAGAGGAGACTAGAGAAAACTTTCAACTGCACCCATGTTCATTGCTGTTCTAGTCCCAATAGCTACAAAAAGAATCAGCCTGGAGGTCCATCAGCTGATGAGCACATAATGGACTTAACAGATATCTACAGAACATTTCACATGAACACAAAAGAATATATGTTCTTCTTAGCACTGTATTGAATATTCCCCAAAATTAACCATGTACTTGGCCACAAAGCAAGTCTTAGCAGATAAAAAAAAATTGAAATAACACCTTGTATCTTATCAGATCACCGTGGATAAAAGCTGGATTTCAACAACAACAGACACAAACAGAAACCTTAACAAACTCATGGAAAATGAACAACTCTCTACTGAGTAACCACTGAAGGAAGGAAGGAAGGAAGGAAGGAAGGAAGGAAGGAAGGAAGGAAAGAAGGAAAGAAGGAAGGAAGGAAGAAGTTAAAGATTTCCTAAAATTCAACAACAATGAAGATATCCAATACCTTTGAGGCTGTGTGCAAAAGTGAATACTTAAAATTGGTGGGAGTATAAAGTGCTACAGTTACAAAGCAAATCTGTGTGAGCTTGCCCCAGTTAGAAAAAAATGGAAATGCCATCTCACCAAGATATAACTCTCTGGGCTTTTGCTGAAAACACTCGAAACACTAAAATAGATACATGCACACACATGGTCATTGCTGCTTTAGTCCCAATATCTAGAAAAAGAATCAGCCTGGATCCCCATCAGCTGATATCCACATGATGGAGATACAGCACATAAACACAATGATTTCCACTCAGCAATGAAGAAAACTGAAAGGAAATTTGCAGCAATGGATGTAACTGGAAATATAACTATACTGAGTCAGGTAACCTAAGCCCACAAAGAGAAACACTGTCAGTTTCTCATATACCTGGATTCCACCCTTCATCTCCTACCCATTTACTTCAAAACTGGAGTGAGCAGGAGAACAGAGAAAGGAGAGGAGAGGACCAATGAGACCTGTGGGTGGTGAGGAGTGGATGGGCACAGTGATAGAATACATGTGGTATGCAAGCAGAGAGGTGAATATACATATATATCTTATAATTCATATATATATATATATATATATATATATATATATGAATTATAAAACAGGAGTGAGAAAGAATACAGGAGGTCATTGGAGCATCAAGGTTCAGGATTTTCCTCAGCTCTATAGTGATTTCCAAGTCAGCCTGAAACACAAGTGTCACCATCCTAAAAAACATAACAAAACAAAACAAAAACAAAAAATTGGGTGTGGTCATGGAAACCTTTAATCCTAGAATAGATGAAGCCGAGGAGGGTGATCTCTAATTCAATAGCAAGCCTACTCAACAGAGCATGTTCCAGGGCTACACAGAGAAAACTTGCCACCAAAAACAATAAAAAATATAATAATAATTTAAATACTAAACATGCATTAAAATCAAAGTAACTTCTCAGAAGACTAATAAATATATTCTAAATATACTGCAGACTCAAGTCAATTTAAAAGAAAAAAAAACCCACATTTTCTCCCACAAATAGAAAGCACACTTGTCTTTCCCTCACATGAACTTTCTGAAGGTTTCCCAGTGGTCAGAAACTATACTACCTACAAAACCACCTATCTGAAGGCTAAAGTAAAGGCATCAAACATTTGCCATTTTTCCAGATTGCAGTCCTGGAAATTACAGAATTCACACTCCCAGTCCTTTCTGCTTAAGTTAGTCTACAGCAAAACATACAGTAGTGAAAAAAAAATCCAATGCCAATTCCATGAAGCCCTTTGCCAGTCTTGTCAGCTTTTTTCACATTCAGCAAAGGTACTTTGCAAAATTCTAAATTTGTCCACTCCCCAAATCACTGCAAAGAAACAAAATGTGAAGCAAATTTAAATTTCTCTCTTTCTTCAGACTGATAATTTTGTCTAACTGCTTTTAGGAGAAGAAGAATAAACTGTCGCACATCATTTTTTTAAAAAAAAAGAAATAAAAAAAAGCAATAGAAAAAATGCAAAAACTCATTGGATGAGGTGTTAAGGGGAATGACAGCTCTGTGGGGAACTCCTAACACCAGGAGGCATAGGACTCAATTCTGAGGGAGACCAACGGGGGGAGGGGAGCAGAGGAGAGAGGAAGGAAATGATAGGTGATGAGGGGAATCAATCCACATGAGCACATACAGAAGAAGAGGAGAAGGGAAACCGCACAGCACATGGAAGACCCTTCACAGCACAGTCTGGACTCAGCATCACCAATAACATCTGTGCAGGTACAGTTCCATGGACTCACCCAAGAGTGCTGAAGGACAAAACAGTGGGGGCCTCAGGGATAAAGGCTGCCTGCTGGGCCCCTACTTCAGGTGCACTCGAGGATGGCCATTGCTGTTCCAGACTCTATCATCCACTGGGCCATATATATATATAGCCCCAGGGGAACCTTCAGTTGGGGGCTCTGTGTATCTCCAAAGGAGCTAGTTTCCCAATGCTGACACCGAGGAATCCAAGAACCCACGGTACACTTAACATTTTGTGCTTCTGATATTTCTAGCTGTCCTCATAAAGAATCCTGCTGCCATTAGAACACACAGTCACCTCAACTTGACATTGCTCCCCTCTGCAATATAAATTCTAAAGAGGCAGCATGGACAGCACCCTATGACTATCAATGATCCTTGTTGTTTATTTCTTTTAGTAATAACATCCTCCATTCTGCCATCCCCCTGTGTCCATTTCCAGTGGATCACTCAGATCTTCACATCCTAACCAGCCTCCCTTCATTGATTGCTTTATTTCAGTCCCAACTCCAGTAGGCATTCCCTAGAAACCTATAGACCACTCAGGCCAGGGATGCAGGCATACTAACTGAATATCTTTGCCTCTCCCTCATGCCCCGCCCAGCAGGGTGTCAACGGGGGCGACCCACCTGCAGGAGAGAATGAAAGGGACAGGGGAGACATGAAAGAAGATAGCAAGACAGTGTTCTGATCAAGCTGCAAATTTTATTCTCCTCAGCAAGGCTTATATATGGAGGGGGAGGGGGCAGGAAGGAGGGAAGGGGTGCATGACGTGCCATACATGCAGGTGAAGGGAGACGTGCAAGTTGTGAGGGTGTTATGCTAGGTGGTAAGGTCACTGGTCAGGGCCCATTGTTCTGTTGCTATGCTACCTGACCTACCTGACCTGTTCTTTGTCTTTGGGGGCATCTGGTTTAGGGCAGGGGCTTGTTCTCTGGCCTAGCTAGTACTTTTCCATGGTCCATGTTTGGTCCCTGACATCCCCCCCCCTTCTATACGTATAGCAAAACAAAGAAAGGAGGCCCAAATGTAGGCGTCCCCACATGCCACAAAGGAAGTTGGGATGATGCAGTTTTTTACAGGGGGCAGGTTTGAATTCGGGAGGAAAGAGTATAGGGTCTGCATAACCACCATGCAATAGAGCATGTCATCCAAGGCACCCAGGATGGTGGAGCATTTTAGTCTCCCTGCCTTCTGCAGTCCTGGCTGCACCCTCAATCCCCTATGCAGTGGGCTCCAGCTCCCAGGCACAGGTGCATCCTCTCCTGGGCAGAGGGGCCTGTGCTGATATGGAGTCTGTATCTGGTTCATCGAGGCCACGATCATGGAGGTTGAGGCGATGGTAATGAACCTGAATTTGTTTTGCCTGAAGTTCGGCCAGCTGACCGTGCACAAATCGAGTTAGTCGAGACAAGGACCAAGGGCCGAATGTCAAGACAAGAATGAGGCCAACCAGGGGTCCCAGAAGGGACGGCAGGAGGGTGGTTAGCCAGGGAGATGCAGAGAACCAGTTTTGGAACCAGCCTAGCTCTTGATCTCTTTCTTTTTTGTGCTTCTCTAAGCCTTCCTGGACCTTGGCCATGCTATCCCTTGCTACTCCTGTATGATCAGTATAAAAGCAGCACTCTCCCTTAAGAGCAGCACAGAGACCTCCTTGCTGTAAAAAGAGGAGGTCGAGCCCTCGGCGGTTTTGGAGGACCACCTCTGAAAGGGAGGTGAGAAAGGATTCAAGGGCGGAAATGCTAACCCAATGGTTTCAAAATGTGGGTTTGCGCCCAATGTCTGGACGAATAGTTTCAAAAAATCGCCTTGCCTCATACCCCTTCTACCCAATTCTGAGTTGCCAATTCCCAGTTTGTGACTTTTCCTTATAAAAACCCCTACTGTGGGCCATGGCCACTGAATCTTCCTCTATCCGCTGGGTTGGAGTTTAGGTTGGCCGCCCAGGTTCAAATTTGACAATAAAAAGACCCTTGTGTGTTTGCATCGGAAACCAGCTCTTTGGTGGTCTCTGGGGGTTCTGCGACATGGGCACAACAGTATTTCCACTTTAACTTAAAAGAATATTAAAATTGCTGTTTTCTAAATACAGTTTACACAAAATTCAATACAAATAATCTAAATACACTTTCAAATAAGTGCACATTTTCATACACAATTTAAGTATTTCACACTCTCTGAATTGGACTTCTCATCTTATATGCAATTATTTTACCAATGTTAGCCAAAATTATCTAGTAAACTGCTAATACTTGCTTCAGTTTGAGCAGGGAGTACTGTAAAATGTATTCACTGTTTTGTGTTATATGATCACTTCAATAACATAGAACAATGTAATATCAGCATTCAATTGTTGTGCCCTGGGCACGAGACCCCCGAAGAGACCACCAGAGACACATACTCACCAAAATGCAAAAGCAAGGTTTATTGGAGCAGTCCAAGGCATGCAGCAGGGACCTCTTCGAATATTCCAGCACAGTGGATGCTAGAGGAGGTACCTGCCTCTCTGCAAGCTCAGTTTTTAAAGGCAAAAATCACAAGGTTACATCAGTTAG